AGCTCTTCATATATTCTGGATAAGGTTCTTTGTGAGACGTGTGGTAATATTTTGTTAAATAGTTTTTTTCACTATGTGTCTTGCCTTTTCATTTTCCTAACATTCTTTTTAGAAGAGCAAAACTTTAATTTTTTATGAAGTTCACTGATCATTTTTGTCTTTTATGGTGCATGGTTTTAATGTCTTACATAAGTCTAGCTCTCCCAAGGTTATAGGAAAAATTCTCTTATATTTCCTTCTATAAGTTTTACACTTTCAGATATTACATCTAGGTATATAATCCATTTTGACTTAATTTTAATGTGCAATGTGAAGTAAGAGTTAGATATATTTTTTTGAACATGGATATCCAATTGTTCCAGCATAATTTGTTGAAAAGATTATCACTTTTCCATTAAATTACCTTAGTGCTTTTGTTAAAAAATAATGATAATTTATATACACATCCATTTCTGATATCTCTATTCTGCTCATTGTTTTGTATATCTATCTTTATGCAATTTCCACACTGCTTACTGATGCTCAATGGAGTCTTGAATTCCATCTTTCTTACTTTTCATAATTGTTTTTGATCTTTTAGATTCCCTGCATTTTGATTAGATGATTTTAGAATAAACTTTTTAATTTGTCCAGAAAAGTTTGCCATGATTTTGATCAGGATTATACTGAATCTGTATCCGTTCAAATTGACATCTTTATGATACTGAGTTTCCTAATCCATGAGCAAGGTGTATCATTACATTTATTTCAGTGTTCTTTAATATTCTCAGCAATGCTTTATAGTTTTCAGTGTACAGACTTTGCATATATTTTATTAAGTGTATTCTTGTTTCATACTTTTGCTGCTACTTTAAATAGTTCTGTTTTCTAAGTTTCAACTTCTGGTTGTTCATTGTTAGTATATATAAATACAGAAGGAGTTTTTTGAATACTGATTTTGTATCCAGTGACCTTTGTACACTTACTAACTAGTTCTGAAGCATTTTTGCAGATTCTTTAGGATTTTCTACATTGACTATCATTTACAAATAAAAATAATTTCTTTCTTCCTCTACAATCTGTGTACCTTTTGTTTTTCTTTCCTCATTGCACTAGTTAGGATCTCCAGGATACTGGTGAATAAAGTGGTGACAAGGAAATTTGTGCCTTGTTCCTAATTTCGGGGGCAAAACATTCAGTCTTTTTCCATAAAGCATGATGCCAACTATAGATTTTTAAAAAATATATTCCTTTTTTAATTAACATATAATGTGTTATTTGCTTCAGGGGTACAGGTCTGTGAATCATCAGTCTTAACACAACTCACAGCACTCACCATAGCTCATACCCTCCCCAATGTCCATAACCCTGCCACTCCATCCCTCCCACCTACCTCTTCTCCAGCAACCCTCAGTTTGTTTCCTGAGATTAAGAGTCTCTTATGCTTTGTCTCCCTCCCTGGTCCCAAAAGATAGATATTCTTTATCAGAGTGAAAAATTTCACTTATGTTTGTAGTTTTCTGAGAGATCTTATTATGAGTGGATGCTGAATTTTGTCAAATGCTTTTCCCGTATCTACTGTGATGATTGTCTGGTTTTTATTCTTTAGTCTGTTGATATAACAAATTACACTGTTTGATTTTTAAAGGTTCATCCACTCTTATGTTCCCATTATAAACCCAAAATAGTCATGATGTGTTATCTCTCTTTATAAATTGTTGTATTCAATTTGCTAAAATTTTAATAAGAATTTGTCTCCAAATAAATAAAATCTAAAAAAAAAAAAGAATTTTGTCTCCATAATGATAAGGCATATCATCTCCATGATGATAAGGTCTAAAGATTTCTTTTCTTTGTCTGGTTTTAGTACCAGGGTTATCATGGCCTCATAAAACAAATAGGAAAGTCTTCCTTTTACTTCTGTTTCTGGAAAATTTTATATACAACTGGTATTTCTACTTTAAATTTTGGTAGAATTCACCCGTAAAATCACAACAATGGAGCAGAATAGAGAGCCCTAAAAGAGATCCATAGAAATACTGACAAAGGAGAAAAGACAATACAATGGAGCGAAGATCGTCTTTTCAACAAACAGTGCTTTTCAACAAATGGACATCCACATGTAAAAAGACAAAGAAGAAAAAGAAGAAGGGGGGGAGAGGAGGAGGAGGAGGAGGAAGAGGAGAAACAGACTTTATACCCTTCACACAAATTAATTCAAAATGCATCACTATTCTAAATATAAAATGCAAAACTATAAAATTCCCAAAGATAACATAGGAGAAAACCTAGATAATAACTTCAGATATGAAAATGACTTTTCAGATATAATAACAAAGTTTGATTCAAAAAAAATAATGGGTAAGCTGGACTCTTATTAAAATTAAAAATTTAGGTTCACAAAACCATATCAAGACAATGAGAAGATAAGCCACAGACTAGGAAAATATATTTACAAAAGACACATCTGATAAAGGACTGTTATCCAAAATACATAAAGAACACTTAAAACTCAACAATAAGAAAACAAACAATCTGATTAGAATTGGGCCAAAGATCTTAATAGAACCCTCATCAAAGAAGATATACAAATGGCAAATAAGCGTATCAAAAGATGCTCTACATCATATGTCCTCAGGGAAATGCAAATTAAAACAACAAGATACTAGTACACCACTGTTAGAATGACCAAAATCCTGAAACACTGAAAACACTATATCCAGGAGAGGATATGGAGCACAGAAACTCATTCATTTCAAAGTGGTACAGCCACTTTGGAGGACAATTTGGCAGTTTCTTATAAAACTGAATACCATAAAATCCAGCAGTTGCATTCCTTGGTATTTAACCAAAGGAGCTTAAAATTCAGTCCACACAAAGACCTGCTCACAGATGCTTATAATGGCTTTATTCATAACTGCCAAACTCTGAAGCCACCAAAATGTCCTGCAGCAGGTGAATGGATAAACTGTGATACATCTGGAAAATTGAGTATTATACAGCACTAAAAAGATATGAACTATTAAACCATGAAAGAACATGGAGGATATTTAAATGCATATTATTAGATGAAAAAAATATGAAACGGCTGTATACTATATGATTCCAGCTATACAAAAATCTGTAAAAGGCAAAACATGAAGAAAATAAAAAGATCAGTGGTTCTTGGGGGTTGGGGAGGGAGAGATGAACAGGTAGAACACAGAGGATTTTTAGAACAGTGAAAATATTCTATTATACCATAATGATCAATACAAGTCATTATACATTTTTCTAAACCCATAGAATAGACAATACCAAGGGTATACCCTAATATAAACTATGGACCTTGAATGATAATCATGCATCTTGTTGGTTCATCAGTTCTAACAAATGTGCCACAAGAAAGAGAGAGACATTGATAATAGGAGAAGCTATGCATGTGCGGGACCAGGGAGCATGAGAAATCTCTGCATCTTCTTCTCAATTTTGCTTTCAATCTTAAACTTCTTGGAAAAAATTAAATTTTGATAAAAGAAAACAAATGTCCAAAACAAAAGCAAATACCTCAATAATACAAACCATGAAAAAAATAAAACACACACACACACACACAAAATTTCCCTTTCAAGTAAAGAACTTTCCAAGTATAGTTTAATAATTCTGTGTCAAAAATGGATCAGGTACCTGGGTAGCCCAGCTGGTTAAGTGTCCAACTCTTGGTTTCAGCTCAGGTTATGATCTCAGGGTCATGAACTCAAGCCCCACATTGGGCTCCAAGCTCACACAGAATCTGCTTGAGATTCTCTCTCCTTTTCCCTCTCCCTCTGGCCCCCCTCCTACTTGTGTGTTCTCTCTCTCAAATAATCTTTATTTTATATTTTTAAAATTTAAAAAAAAAGATTTCATTTATTCATTTTGAGAGAGAGACTAAGAGAGCACAAGCAAGGGGAGAGGCAGAGGGAGAGGGAGAAGAAGACTCCCTCCTGAGCTGGGAGCATGACATGGTGCTCAGTCCCAGGACCTGGAGATCATGACCTGAGCAGAAGGCAGACACTTATCCATTTGAGCCCTAGGTGCCCCTCAAATAAATCTTTAAAAAAAGCAAAACAAACCAAAAAAATAGATCAGATTCTTCTGTGGAGAGAGAAGTGTGTGTGGTTTTGTTTTTGTTTTTGTTTTTTATTGTCTTAATAAAGTCTTTATTTAAAATAGCATAAAAAGCACTATATAACTACCTCTAACTTACTTCAATTTGAAATAAATTAATCATCTGCCAGTTCGCAGAAAACCTATAGCTCTTCTTCTTGTCACTTATATATGCAAAAACTGTATTGTTAGCTACAATATACAAATACACTCATTGTTGATATGTCTTCCTGATTTATTGCTTATTTATCAGTATATAGTATTTCCTTTTTTTGAGATTTTTGTAAGAGATATTTTGTCCTGATATTGTAATTGATACTTTTCTATCCTGAAGGATGTTGATTTATGCAAATTTTTATCTTCACAATAATAAATCCATCATCATTTTAAAGAATCATATAAGTGTATATAATATCTTTTTAAGTTGCCATTATCTTCTTTGTTGTGAAATTCCTTGTGTAGCATTTCAGAATCTTTCATAATTCTCAGTGATATCAGTTTTTTAAAACATTCTTTCATTGTTTTACACTTTTTCCTTGATTCAAGTTTTTGTCCTCTCATAAATAATGTATTTAAAAATTATTATACTTTACAAATGTATATAAAGAATGTCACTAAATTTGCTTAAAATGCCCTCTCTCTTAATTATTCTTAATTATTCTGAATTATTGAAAATGTCATTTCCATCCAAGTGGGACTAAGAGTAGTTAAATGTTGACAAAATATTTGATGAAACACAAACAGAGAGAGAAGGTAGATAGATTTGTAAAAGCTGTATTTTTCTTCCTCAAAAATTCTTTTTAAAATTACTAATTTGGGGATTGGTGGCAAGATGGCAGAGGAGTAGCAGACTGAAATGACATCAGGTCACAGGTCTATTACTGTGACATCCATTACGTGATCAAAGTTGCTTTTCCTTCAGCAAGGGCTTTATTTGTCAGAAGGGCATTATGCTTGACCTCCAAATTTGGCTGACAATTTACTGATGAGATGCATAACCCTTGGGTTGCTCTGATATTTTGACATATTCGTTGGGTTCTGGGCCATATCCTGGAAGGCCACCATAACTTCTGGATCCTGCATGGCTGCAAGAACTTCTGGATCACTAAGAATTTCATTGAGTCCAGGCATTCCTGCCATTCCAGGCACCCACTAACATCTTCATCATAATCCAGTTTACAAGCAAGGGCAAGATCATGTGCTGCTTCTTCCCAATGGCCCAGAAGTCTATGTGCTTTCCCACGCCACTTATAAGGCTGGGCTGAATCAGGATTTATTTCAATAGCTCTGTCACAGTCTTGAGTGGCAGCATTTGGCTTCTGTAATTTGATGAAGACACTGGCTCTCTTGGCATACAGAATGGCCAAGTGAGGATTTAGTTTGATGGCATCTGTGAACAAGTCAATGGCTTTCTGTAGTTCACCATCATTTAGGGCATCAATGACAGCCACTTTTTTATCATTTGCCTGATTCATCATTTCCTTGGTTAACTCTACATTTTCATCTCCCATTTCCTTGTTGATCAACAGAATACATATTCGTCTGTAGTGCACATGGAACATTCTCCAGAAGATATCACATCCTGGGTCACTAATCAGTTTTCAACTGATACCAAAAGATTGGGATCATTCCCTGCAGATTTTCAGACCACAGTGCTCTGAAGCTAGAACTCAATCACAAGAGAAAAGTTGGAAAGAACCCAAATACATAAAAGCTAAAGAGCATCCTACTAAGGAATGAATGGGTCAACCAGGAAATTAAAGATGAATGGAAAAAATTCATGGAAACAAATGATAATGATAATGAAAACACAACTGATCAAAATATGCTGGACACAGCAAAGGTCGTCCTGAGAGTAAGTATATAGCGATACAAACCTTTCTCAAGAAACAAGAAAGGTCTCAAGTACACAACCTAACCCTGCACCCAAAGGAACTTGAGAGAGAACAGCCAAGAAAGCCTAAACCCAGCAGAAGAAGAGAAATCATAAAGATCAGAGCAGAAATCAATGAAATAGAAACCAAAAGAACAGTAGAACAAGTCAATAAAACTAGGAGCTGGTTCTTTGAAAGAATTAATAAGATTGATAAACCCCTAGCCAGACTTAACAAAAAGAAAAGAGAAAGGACCCAAATACATAAAATCATGAATGAAAGAGAAGAGATCACAACCAACACCAAAGAAATACAATTATACGAACATATTATAAGCAACTATACGCCAGCAAATTTGACAATTTAGAAGAAATGGATGCATTCCTGGAGACATATGAACTACCAAAACTGAACCAGGAAGAAATAGAAAGCCTGAACAGACCCATAACCAGTAAGGAGATTAAAGCAGTCATCAAAAATCTCCGAATAAAAAAGAGCCCAGGACCAGACAGCTTCCCAGGGGAATTCTACCAAATGTTTAAAGAAGAATTAATACTTATTCTCCTGAAACTGTTCCAAAAAATAGAAATGGAAGGAAAACTTCCAAACTTGTTTTATGAGGCTAGCATTACCTAGATTCCAAAACCAGAGAAAGACCCCATCAATAAGGAGAATTACAGACCAATATCCTTGATGAACACAGACGTGAAAATTCTCACCAACATACTAGCCAATAGGTTCCAACAGTACATTAAAAGGATTACTTGCCATGACCAGTGGGATTTATTCCAGGGCTGCAAGTTTGGTTCATCATCTGCCAATCAATCAATGTGATATAATACATTAATAAAAGAAAGAACAAGAACCATATGATCCTCTCAATAGGTGCTGAAAAAGCATTTGACAAAATACAGCATCCTTTCTTGATTAAAACTCTTCAGAGTGTAGGGATAGAAGGTACATACCTCAATATCATCAAAGTCATCTATGAAAAACCCACAACAAATATCATTCTTAATGGGGAAAAACTGAGAGCTTTTCCACTAAGGTCAGGAACATGGCAGGGATGTCCACTATCACCACTGCTATTCAACATAGTACTAGAAGTCCTAGCCTCACCAATCAGACAGCAAAAAGAAATTAAAGACATATGAATCAGCAAAGTAGAAGTCAAACTATCATTCTTTGCAGATGATATGATACTTTACATGGAAAACCCAAAGGATTCCACTCCAAAATTGCTAGAACTCATACAGGAATTCAGTAAAGTGTCAGGATATAAAATCATTGAAGAGAAATCAGTTGTATTTTATACACCAACAACAAGACAGAACATAGAGAAATTAAGGAGTTGATCCCATTTTCAACTGCACCCAGAACCATAAGATACTTAGGAATAAATCTAACTAACCAAAGAGGCAAAGAATCTGTACTCGGAAAACTATAAAGTACTCATGAATGAAATTGAGGAAGACACAAAGAAATGGAAAAATGTTCCATGCACATGGATTGGAAGAACAAATATTGTGAAAATGTCTATGCTACCTAAAGCAATCTACACATTTAATGCAATCCCTATCAAAATACCATCAATTTTTTTCTTTTCAAAGAATTGGAACAAACAGTCCTAAGATTTGTATGGAACCAGAAAAGACCCTGAATAGCCAGAGGAATGTTGAAAACAAAAGCCAAAGTTGGTGGCATCACAATTGCAGGCTTCAAGCTCTATTACAAAGCTGTCATCATCAAGATAGTATGGTACTGGCATTAAAAAAGACACATAGATCAATGAAACAGAATAGAGAGTCGAGAAATAGACCCTCAACTCTACGGTCAACTAATCTTCAACAAAGCAGAAAGGAATATCCAATGGGAAAAAAGACAGTCTCTTCAACAAATGGTGTTGGGAAAACTGGACAGCCACATGCAAAAGAATGAAACTGGACCATTTCCTTACACCACACACAAAAATAGACTCAAAGTGGATGAAAGACCTCAATGTGAGAAAGGAATCCATCAAAATCCTTGAGGAGAACACAGGCTGCAACCTCTTCAACCTTAGCTGCAGTAACTTCTTCCTAGAAACATCGCCAAAGGCAAGGGAAGCAAGGGCAAAAATGAACTATTGGGACTTCATCAAGATCAAAATCTTTTGCACAGCAAAGGAAACAGTCAACAAAACTAAAAGACAATTGATAGAATGGGAGAAGATATTTGCAAAGGACATACCAGATAAAGGGCTAGTATCCAAAGTCTATAAAGAACTTACCAAACTCAACACCCAAAGAACAAATAATCTCATCAAGAAATGGGCAGAAGTCATGAACAGACATTTCTGCAAAGAAGACATCCAGATGGCCAACAGACACATGAAAAATTGCTCCACATCACTCAGCATCAGGAAAATACAAATTAAAACCACCATGAGATACCACCTCACACCAGTCAGAATGGCTAAAATTAACAAGTCAGGAATCAACAGATCTTGGAGAGGATGCAGAGAAAGGGGAACCCTCCTACCCTGTTGGTGGGAATGCAAGCTGGTGCAGCCACTCTGGAGAACAGCATGGAGGTCCCTCAAAAAGTTGAAAATAGAGCTACCCTACGACCCAGCAATTGTACTACTGGGTATTTACACTAAAGATACAAATGTAGTGATTCCAAGGGGCACATGAACCCGAATGTTTATAGCAGCAATGTCCACAATAGCCAAACTATGGAAAGAACCTAGATGTCCATCAACAGATGAACGGATAAAGAAGATGTGAGATATATATATACATATATATATATATATATACACACACACAACGGAATACTATGCAACCATCAGAAGAAGGGCGGGGGTATGGAGAAGGTGGTTGGGTTATGGACATTGGGGAGGGTATGTGCTATGGAGGGTATGTGAGTGATGTGAAGTGTGTAAACCTGGCAATTCACAGACCTGTACCCCTGGGGCGAATAATACAGTATATGTAAATAAAAATAAATAATTAAAATTACAAATTTGTAATTGAACAATCTTAGCTTTGCCAGTCTTTACAGTTCACCAAGAAATTCCAATCCACATCCTTGAGCAAATAGATATTAGCTCAATATCATTAGATATTTTTTTTTCACCCTGGTTACCATGATTTAACTAAAGCACTAACCTTACTGAGTTTTTCTTAACATAAAAATCTGAAGCTTTCTTATTAACCTCCACATATAAATATGTTTTACTTTCTCAGCTTTAGTGAAGAGATGGTTTATATAACAGTAATCTCTGTGTGTAAGAATAAATAAATCAGAAAAAAAACCTCCTCTAATATTTCCAGTAAAACTGGTACTTCGGGAAGTTTATTTAGCATAACATCATGTAGACACCCAGCATGTGTGTATCTATGGGGATATTTGCAAAATAGTTTAAAATGATGGGAAACACAGGGTGAAATATAAAGTACTCAAGTTGTCAAGTAAAACACATCATAGTGTGACTGCCACCTACCAAGCCAACTTTGCCTCTATAGCTGCCCCACCTGCATCCTATCCTATAGACATATCGAACTATTTATTATTTGTTGACTCATCATTCAGACCTCTGTCCCTTTGCACATACAACTCCTTTTGCCTTAAACGCCCTTAGTCATTGTCCATCAGGTAAAACCTTATACACCTTTCAAGTTTCAGCTCAAAGTATTCTTCTTTATGAAAATGTCCTTCATTCATTATCCCAAGTAGAAATAAGAATTTATTTTCTACTCCTATTTTTCTTTATGCTAAGTTCACATTATGCCAATTACCTTCCTTGTGTTTTAATACTCATTATTTTTTAAGATTTTATTTATTTATTTGACAGATAGAGATCACAAGTAGGCAGAGAGACGGGCAGAGAGAGGGGAGGAGAAGGTTCCCTGCTAAGCAGAGAGCCCAATGTGGGGCTTGATCCCAGGACACTGAGACCATGACCTGAGCCGAAGGCAGAGGCTTTAACCCACTGAGCCACCCAGGCGCCCCAATACTCATTATTTTTAATAAAATATATTTTTTTCACCATTATTACCCAGCAGTTGCCTTCTAGCGTAGTACATATTATTAATGTATAAGTATTTTCTGACTGAGGTATTTGGGGCCCAGTCATTTAAAAGAGGAAAATACCTTCTAAACACTACTTTTCTTAGGTTATATATTTTTTTTTCCTTAGAGAGACCAGGACTGGGCTTACAGAACTTTATACAAAACGGATGTGAAAATTCCCATTCACATCTTGCAAGACCCCCTGAAGTCCCACAGCCTCTGCCACTGTTCCTCTTCACTGACCTCTATCTTCTCTGAACTGTGAACACAGGAACCTCTAAAAGAGGCTTCAAAAGCCCAATTTCCCATTGAGAAAAACCTGACAGTCATGGAGTAAGAGAATACATCCCTCAAAAGTTGCATCTTTACTTAGTATTAAAATAAAACTCTCTTTTGTTGGTTGGGGGGAAATAGGGATAGATAGCTATTTCAAATGTTACATAAATCCAATAATAATAGTTTTGCTCATCTGCCACTTGGTTTGTCTTTTGTATTCTGTTGAAAGACATCAGAAGATGAACTGCACCCTCAAGGGTAAGACAGGCATTTAAACCTGGGGCAAGGTAACCAGACATACTAAA